GGGATCATCCCTCACCAAGGGCCACTGCTCCTTGAAGTCTGTCCCTGAGGTCATCTCCAGCCCCATTTGGAAGGGCCCTCCTGTGAGCCCTTCTGTGTTTAGTTTGTCCGTGTTGGACATTTATTGAGTGACCCCTGTTTTTAGTGCAGCAAGACCAGCGACTTTTTTTTTTTGAACGAGGGCCTAAACCCAGGGCGCTAACCCCTGAGCCGCGTCCGAGCCCTATTTATTCTTTATTTAGAGCCAGGGTCTCGCTGAGTTGCTCAGGGCCTCAGTGAGTTGCTGAGGCTGGCCTCCAACTCATGATCCTCCTGCCTCAGCCTCTCGAGCCACTCAGCAGGTGCCCGGCTGGCAGGTGCTTGAGGAAGAACTGGGAACTGCAGGGCTCTGGCTTTCCTGCATCTGCCAGGCCCGCAGTCCCATGCCTCCGCCACCTTTTACTAGTCATGTGACCTCGGGCAGATCACGTACCTTCTCTGGGCCTCAGTTTCCTCATCTGTAGAGAGTGGATAAAAAAAAAAATCCTGGAATGAAGCCAGGGCCTGACATCCTGCTGGCACAGAGGATCACTCATGAGCTTGATCAACAGCTCCAACCCCGACTGGGATCTCGTGCCAAGAGCACGTTTATTTTTCCCAGTGAACTTGACGACTTCCTTTTAGCAGACTAGGGGCCCCTGGGTCACTGTCTAATTTCCCTTTTGGCCTTGGCTGCCAGGAAGCTCACTCCTCCAGGAAGGTCTCAGGAGCAGCCCTTACTTCCTGTTAGGTCTTTAGTTCTTTTATTCCCTCGTCCGTCCCCTCTCTGTGGCTTATGACTCACTTGGGCTCCGTGGTCCCCATGTGCTATTATTTTTTATTTTGGCAAAATATGCCTAAAGTCTGCCATTGGAAGGCTCAGCTCCGTGTGGCGGAGTGAACTCAGCTCCTCGGGCGGCCAGCATTGCTGGCCTTCATAGAACTTTGTCATCAGTCCCCGCCCCCAGGGGCAGGCTTGGCCACCACATCCTCCTCCTTCTTTCTCTTTTGTTTAGGAACTGGGGGTTGACCCCCAGGCGCCTTTGACCCCTGAGCCCTGTCCCCAGCCCTGTTTGTGTTTTATTTAGAGACCGGGCCTCGCCGTTGCTAAGGCTGGCCTCCAGCTCCCGATCCTCCTGCCTCGGCCTCCAAGCCTCTGGGCCAAGGCGGGTCCTCTCAGGGTCACCAGGCTCAGCAGGGCGGCTCCCGTGGTCCCTCCTGCGGTGGCCAGACCCTCACCTGGCTGCCCAGGATCCCAGACCCCAGGTGCAAGCTGGGCACCCTGTGGGGACGGCCATCATGCTGAGTCTCACTGGCCACATTGTCACCTGCCCATCCCTGGCCCCGTCATAGTGAGGAGGGGCCAAGCCTCGTTGGTTGCTGGTTGTGACCGGCAACCCAGCTGGTCTGCCCAGCGCTGGACCTCTAACTGTCCCTTGAGGCCAGCAGGGGACCCGCTGGATCACGGGCAATTGGCACTTGGGATTCCCTGGGCTCCTCTGTTGGCGCTCGGTTAATCACAGTCCTTCAAGGATGACACGCGGTGGCCTGGAGCTGCTGTCACCTGCTGTCCTAGCACAGGGAGTTCAAGGTCACGACAAGGCTCTTGTTTAGGGCGTGTCGCAACCACTCCAGTCCTTTTCCTATGGGCGAGTGTCCAGTCCTGTCCAGTGAGTCCCTTCGTCTGTCCCTGAACATAAACTGTCTTCTGTCTCCGGCTCTGGGCGTTTGTCATTTGCAGGGATGGCAGGGGCTGCGTCTCTGCCTCTCTTTGTCCCCTTCACCACGTGGCCCTCGGTTGGGAAGCTACACTGGTCTGTGACCCTCCTGGGGACCTGCCTGTCAGGGAGGAGGGGATGCCCAGGACAGTCGCCATGAGGGCACCGTGGCCCCTGGGCCTGAGGGCTGGGCCGGCCGCTGGGGACCTCGGCCATCGGGGAGGGTCTCAGAGAGTAGCCAAGGCCTGAGGGCCACCGTCCCACCCTGACCCCTGGTCACTGGACCCCGGGAGACGGGAGGACATGGGGCTGGGGGTGCCTTGGAGGTCACCACTCCCGGGACTGAGCGCTGGGGCTGTGGGTGTGAGGGCAGCCACTGGGGAACCGCTGGCACCCGGACGGCAGGAGGCCTGCTGCCTGGCAGAGGCTAGGTCTGTGGCCGGGGCGGGGTCTGCTGCAGAGGGCGGGGTCTGCTGCAGAGGGCGGGGCTTGCGGCCGGGGCGGGGTCTGCGGCAGAGGGCTGTTCCGGGAGGAACCAGCAGCACCTGTGTCAAGGCTGCTGGGCCGCTAGGAGCAGGGAGGTGCCCAGGATGCATTGGCTGGTGGCATCCTTGGGGCTGAGGTCACCTTCCCAGGGTTTCCCTGGCCTGGGCCTGATACTGGAGCTTCAGATGCTGCGTCAATGGGTGTGCCAAACCCCGGGGAGGGGGCTTCTTCCTGCCCAGTATCTACTCTTGGCCATGCTGTCTGGCTACCCGCCAAGGAACTGGGTCAAGCCACATTTTGGGGGGAGAAAAATCATTTTGGGGCTGGGTGCAGCAGAAAACGCCTGTCATCCCAGCAGCTCGTGAGGCACAGGTAGGAGGATGGTGAGCTA